TAACTTGGGAATTAAAAAAGAAAAATTCAGTGAGTAATAAATTCTTGAAATTCGTCATATCAACATATTTCACCTCTGCTACCATTGTTAGCTACCGTGCGGTTACCAAAATTGTTGTTAGGAAAAAAGCTGGGCGTCTCGTCAAAATTAAGCTCCTCACAAAAAATCTGCTAGTAAGTAATAAAGGGTGAAAACGGGCCCGGGACTCCGGACTTGTTTTTTTTTAACGGTAACTCGTAACACCTACGTTAAATGTAATTAATTTTATCTGATAAAATAGAATCAATCAGAATCGATGGTATAAAATGTATTCAGACACAGCATGGAATGGTATAACAGAAAAAGCAAACCGTACTAGTTAGTAGCGTAGTACCGATACTAGTTCTAGTAAGTTTCACACGACAAACAAGTACTTAAAAAAAATTATTTATAATTCTAGGGCCGTCTTGACGGGCCCTGGTATTATCCACGTTTGATACCCGTCTATTTTGCGAGTATTACTTAGCTCTTGCGATTATTATTAATACGATAGATTTAAAGTGGAATACAAAGCCATTATCTCGTCGACGTAATTAGGAAAACTGTCGTTTTAACCTTTGCTGAGATTTGTTTCAAGTTTCAATAGTAATCCTAAGTGAGAGATACTGATGATGCTACTGGTGAAAATGAGCACATAAATGAATTCTGTAATAGTAATAATGTGTGTAAACTAAAGAATTAAAAGAAGCCCATTTCTTTGTCTCCTGTCCCTAATTTATCTTAAAAAGGACATTTATTGAATTTAAAATGATTGTCTCGAATCAAAAAGTCCTATTAGTCAGCAATTTATTAATCTATTAATTAATAATTAAATTTATCAATTTATTATCTCTTCAACTATGCTTCTATTGAGCTTCAACATCCTTTTTATGACAATCATTACGGTTTTGAAAGTAATATTAAAATTGACATAAAACACAATAATATTTTCAAGCAATGTTCTGCAGTCAAAAATACTTTCATATTGTATATAAAATCATGCACATTACTGAAAACTAACAATGTAACTTTATTATAATAGGTACAAAATATAACGAAAAAGTGCAGACTACAACATATACAAAGGATAGTTACTCTACTGTGGCACAACTTGTTTATGCTTCAGAAATTTATTTCTTGATACATAAGGTATCAATTGATGCTCCATAAATACATTATACATACATGTCTTTGGAGAAGAGCATTTAGTCAAACCGTTGATGTAATTAATATAGCCAAAGAAATTAATTGAGGATTAAATATGATGCACTGAGATGAACTAAAAACTTTATTTACTTATATGTTAACTTAACCAATTAATTATTACTATTCTAAATTAATAAATGTTATAGTTTTAATTACATAAATTTTAAGTTACATGTTTACTTTCTACTTCAATGGTGCTAGTGCAGAAACTGCATCAAAATCATATACAAAATCTGAAGTATCCTGGTTTATTGTCAGGTTACTGTAATGGATTCAATTTACAATGAAAATATCATTTATTGCTTTTCCAAGTATTTTGTAGACATTAAAAGGAGACTTAACTAAACTATAATTGACACAATAGGTGTATGTTAGTTACAAACTAGTTTTATCTGGCATTGCATTCTTGGTCAGTAAAAAAGAGTTTGGTCATATTCAGTAGTTTACCTATATATTACATATTGCTTTGTTCCATCGATTGGCTCGAAATTATTTGTGACTTTTACAACTATGATATGCATTTCATACAAATATATAAATTGGTGAAAATTCATATTTAATAGATATTTGAATGAATAACATCAACAAAATTCTGAATGTTAATTTTAGCAATGCTTGTACTAGATGAACTAGAAAACTGATAAACATCCTTGAACATACTTTCCTTCTGTAAATTAATACATATACAGCATGGAACCATACATACCATACAACAGCGAACTCAAATAAACACACTACTTGCCAATAATCATAAAAAATATAAAACTAATTGAATAAAAAAAATCTGACTGATTCATACATTTTCATTTGTTGCCATAACATCTCATTACAAGTTTCTCCTAATGGTATGTTTTATCTATTTTAAATTCATATGCTTTGTGACCTTGAGAAATGTTTACAGTGGATTTCATTAATAACAACCTCCATTGTTACAACTTTTCGGTTATAGTTATGAGACTAAGGTCCCTTGAATTTAAAGCATACTTTCATAGAAACTCATTTGGCAACAGCAACTTCTGATTTCAGCTATATGGACTATATGGCTATATACTATTAAAATGCTAAAAAAGTACTCTTTGTTTGGTGAAGGCAATCATTTGAATATTGAAGAAATTATGAAAATCTAATACACCTTACAGCATATACAAAAACCTAAACTAAAACAAAGGACTATAACAGATTTTTTGAATTAAACCCATGCACATACATAATTCGGTGAATAATTAAATAAATATATGAAATTGACTTTATATTTTGAATATAGTGACAACATTAAAGTGGTCCTATCAACATTGTTATCACCAAAATCCATTGTATTTGTTTTGGAAAATTTAATAACTCTAAGTATTCATGTTTAATAAAAATTTGAAAAGTTATCCTTCATATTTGAGTTTAAGGTCGCAGTAGTAGCAGCATGTTGTATTAACACCAAGACACTGGAAAATCACTATGTTCATCACACAATATTTTTCCAGTAGTGGGGATCAAATCTGCACCCTCTGGCGCAAATGGCAGTATCAACTACATCAATCAATTTATGATAATTAAAATATAATAATAGTTACCTTCTTAAGTGATAGATTTGTGCATCAATCAAAAATATAAGAAAACTTTATAATTAAAATTCACATTATTTTAGTTGTTATTCAAGCATAAACTGTGTTATTATACTACAATTATGCGTACTGTAAGATGCTGGTTTTTTTAGATTCTCCTTGATAATATCACATGGTGATTTGGTGCCAAAATCAAAGACTATTATATCGGATTTAATATTTTCTTTTAAATATGGAGCAGCAACTGGTCTTAATTTCGAAGTCAAGACTTTGCCAAATGGTGAACATTTACCTTTTCTTATCTTTTTATTTAATATGTAGGACAAATCTGTCATACAAGGCAAATATGTTAGTGAATTAAATTGAGTTCTCCTTTCTTCATTTGTGAAGTTTGAAGAAACAAGCTCAGAAGAACCATTTCTGCAGAGTATTTTTTCTGAACGTGATGAGTTTGTAGGAGGTTGTAAAGCTTTCATCAGGTCTATGACATAATCTTCATCATTATCCAGTTTCAGTTTGTTCATTTGTTCTTCCAGTTTACTTTTCTCTGCCTCTTTTTGTTTTCGTTCTTTAGCCTTTAACATATTAGAAACCTGTTCTGCCAGCACGCATGATATTGGACTTTCATTAGCACTTAAAGTTGGTATTGGAAATTTTTGCTTAGGGGAAAACAAAAACGATTCCGATACACTGCCGTTATGAAATCCTTTTAAGCAAGAAATAGGTAAAGAACTTTTCCCTTTTTCATTTGTTCCAGTGTCCTTCAAACTCGTTTGAGAAAGATGGCTATCAACTAAAGCAAACAAAGAAGAGTAGCCTTCTGATTCCATGATTTTAATGAAATTATATATTTGATTACTTAGTTTAGTTGGATCAAAAATCAAATGTTATGAAAATAATAATGGTGGATTATGTATTGATAACAAGGAGAATGTATTGTGTAGGGATGTCGAAAATATATCGATATTTTTGGCCGATATATCGATACAAAAAATTGAACGAAACCGTTTCGAAAATGATATTTTATTCAAACTGACTTAAAGACGTAAAAGATAAAAATGAACAGAAAAAAAATGTGGTCTATTACTAGTAATTTATTGACGCGGATGCAGAGTTGCTTTTGTACTTTAATTAGGTTATTTATACTACAATTTGATGCTTCGTACTTTATACTAGACATATTTTAATTAAACATGGCATAGATGTGTCACAACTCATTAATATTGAACTACATATCATGTTAACTTATAAATAGCATGAAAAATATGAATGGCCTCAACTAAAGTTATTTTAATTTAATATTTAAATAAAGTTAACAAAAATTTAGTTATAATCAATTTCTCAATAATTTAATGTCACATAATAAAATATCGAGTTTTCATAAAAAAATTATTTGTCTTCATAAAAATTATTATCACATAACTTCTTTAAATTGTCGTTCAGCATTTTCACGTCAATCTATCAACTATTACGAAATTCTGTTGATCTAGGCCTGTATTTTAGGACAAGACTCTTTGGGTTTCTTTTTGACCCATTATTAACTTCGTTTAAAACATTTCTTTTTTTTTTACAAAGTTACATATTCGAAAGAATAAAAAAATTCGATTCAGGGTTAAAGAAACTGATTTATCTTATTAAATAAGCTTTTTTTTCCAATAAATTGTCTTGATAAATAACATACCTAGAAATTTAGATTAATGAAAGAAATTTGATAAAAATTAATATATAATATATAATTAACGTTTTATTAAAATTTCCCAATGTGAATTTAGGTATAAAAATTACTATTACTTATTATTTAATCAGACTGAACTAAAAACATTATTTTTTTAAAATAAAAATTTGACCGAGATATCGATATTTTTTTCGGTATATCGATGCCAATATTGATATATTTATAAATATCGATACATCGATATTTTTTTCGGTTTTAGCACAGACTTATAAAGAGAAGCAGACTTAACACTAACTCACAAACACATGGTTAGGAATAATTTAATATCTTCACACCTTTTACTCTGATTAAAAGTCCAATAATGTTATCTCTTTCTTCCTGCTGTGGAAACATGAACACAAACATAGATAAAATTGTAATGAAGCAATCGCCATCTTGTTAAGCTGCAAATAAGCGACATATGGCGTCGAAAACAAATAGCAAGTGTTTTCTTTTGCGTTTATTTTCTGCGAATTGTTGTTCTTACGTCTTAAAAGTGAAAGAGGATGGTGAAGTGCAGTGCTCCTTTGTGCGGCAACGCAACTTATAAGAAAACAGCTGAAATTTCTTTCCATCGGTTAGTATTTAGTGCGTTTTTATTAATTTCCGTATGATCATAGAGATATTTTTTTGTTAATGGCTAAATAGGTTAAAGCTATTAGTAATTGCCACGCTGTAAACTACTACTATAGAGATTTTCTTTCGATTTACATTCTTTAATTGACTAATTTAACACCTGGGACTCTCTGTTTGACGTTTTATCTACTTGCATGTTTTGATGGGCCGCATTCAGTAATTTCAATTTTATTTCAATAATTTTTAATAATGTATTTAGTTATTTATGACTGGGATCTCGGATGTATGCTTATCACATTTATTGCGCAGGTTTCCAAAGGATGAAAATATAAAACTTGCGTGGTTGAGCAACATAAAGAGACCAGACTGGCAGCCCACATCAGCTAGTGTGCTATGCTCCAAGCATTTTGAAGCATCCTTAATAGATAAAAACGGATTTCGAACGGTTTGCTCCAGGAGCCATTCCAACAATCTTTGATCTGGTGCAAGACGTGAGTATTTTTCATTGTTTTTAATTGAGGTTAAAAATTACTGCATTTTATAAGTATTATATTGATTTTCAGAATTAGTTAGATACTTAATAAAAATTTGATAAATGGTTAGATACTACCTAGATACTTATAAAATACTTAAGTAATTCTGGAATATCATGGCCATAGTCTTAATCTAATAAATATGAAACATTAATATTGGTGGGACTCGGTAAAGTAATGCTGAATGTTTATTAAAAATACTTAAAGAGTGCCAGAGCATAACAATTAAATACACATACACTGAATAAAAGTACAATTTGTTAGAGATGCTTTCCTCACAAATGTGGTTTATTTTGTAAGCTAAAAAGCTTTTAATTAAGTTTATTTTGTAACAAGTTCCCAATTACTCAGGTATCATGAAATGAGTAAATTGTTGCTGATTGAACTGCACATTGCTAAGATTAATATATCTGTTTTATGATTTTTTTTATTATTATTTTGAAAATATCCAGGTTTCCTCACGATGTTTTCCTTTACCACTCAGCACGTGATAATTCAGCATTTGAAATTATAAATTTCATTGGTGCCGGCATATAGTAATTAGAAACCTTTTCATTTTTAGATTATGCCTACTTCAACAATTACAAACGAAGGACAGATTCTGCGAGAAATTCAAAACATACAGCATGGTGTGTCTAGTACAGTCCCGAATTACGTAAGTAAATTTCTCGCAGTCTTTATGTCTGATGTTTTTTTTTGTAGTAATTTCTATTTATATTATTATTATGTCACACTCTGAAATCTTATTCATAATGTATAATGAACCTACGATAATTTATTTATCTCAAAAATACTTCATGTACTTCCTAACCTTTTTTGAATTGATACATTTTTAAAGTGATAGAGTAAACAAAGGAGTAGATGTGCCACCTGATAGTAGATGGTCACCAATGTCAATTTCTATCCCAATAGGAACAACAACCTGGGTCACAAACTAGCAATTATCGGATCGAACCCACGACCCCGAAGCTGAAGCCAATACCTTGGCAACTGCGTCGCGGAGTCATCACGATTTTATGGTAAAGTCCTGTAAGGTGGAGAGAAGCCATTCTTTAAAGACTTATCTCTTTCATTACAACATGGTTATATGTAACATTAAAGATAAAAAAGTAGTAAGTTATTTCTTGACTTTCAGGATGAAGACAATCATAGAAAAGAAGAAGAAATAAGAAAAATGAAATATAAAGCCGTCCTCAAAAATAAAAAGATAAAAGCACTGAGACAACAGAATAGACGGCTTAAGAATAAAGTCTCAAAGTTCTCTGAAATAATATCCAGCCTGAAAGAAAAATTAAATCAGGATGAACTTCATATAATTTCGGGAATTAATATAAAAAACAAAGATTTCCTTGTTAGATATTTGAAAAAAGCAAAAAGTTCCACTGTGAGTAAAGTATTTTCACCAGAATTGAGAGCTTTTGCTCTGCAATTAAATTTCTACTCGCCCAGAGCGTATAATTTTGTTCGAACTTCCTTCAACACAGTTTTACCTCACCCAGCCACATTGTCACGCTGGTACAAAAAAGTTGACGCTGAACCAGGTTTTTACCGGCGAAAGCTTCGAAACTTTAGAGGCATTAGCTAAACAAAGCAAACATGAAGTGTTTGTAAATTTAAGTTTGGACGAAATGGCTATCAGGAAAGGATTAGTCTGACGGAACTGAAAATAAGTTTAAAGGCTATGTCGATACTGGCACAAATGTCTTCGACGATAGTTTGCCTTTAGCGACTCAGGCGTTAGTAATATTAGTGACGGCAATAAACTTTAATTGGATACTTCCAATTGGCTATTTTTTTATAAACTCTATGACGGGCGAACAACGCTCAAATATAGTCAAAATGGCAATTGTAATGTTATTTGACATTAATATTTTTGTATGTGGCTTAACGTTTGATGGTGCTGCGTCCAATATCGCTATGGCGACTCATTTAGGATGTGATTTCAATTTAAAACATTTCTATCCATTCTTTATGTTTAAGGGTAGAAGAATACATGTTTTTTATGACCCTTGCCATATGATAAAACTCATACGAAACACCTTAGGCGAATTTGGTAGTTTAATCGATCAAGACGGTGACGTGATAAATTTTAAATATCTCAGTCAATTGATGGAACTTCAAACCGAAAAAGGATTGCATTTAGCCAATAAATTAAAACAAGCTCATATTCTGTTCGCAAAACAAAAAATGAAAGTGCGTTTGGCGGTGCAGTTATTCAGTAGATCAGTTGCCGACGTACTTTCTTTTTGTGAAGATAATTTTGACGAATTTAAAGGGGCTAAAGCAACGATAAAATTTATTTATATCATAAACGACTCTTTCGATATTTTAAATAGTCGGTCCACACTTGCGCCGGGACACAAAAAAGCTTTGTGTAGTGGTAATATTGAAATGGCAAAAGGGCTAATTGCTACTTGGCAGGAATACATCATGAATTTAAAATTACCGAACAGAAATTTAATTGTTAATTCGGCTCGCAAAACGGGGTTTGTGGGTTTTATTGTGAGCTTACGTAGTGCTCTTAATTTGTACGAGGACTTAGTGTGCAAAGGAAAATTAAAATTTCTGCCAGTTTATAAAATAAGTCAGGATTTCTTAGAAATGTTCTTTGGAAAAATGAGGGCTAGGGGTGGATTTAATGATAACCCTAACGTTGTTCAATTTAGAACTGCTTATAAAAAAAAACATTATACGAATAAAATTTAAAATGGAAGGAGATGGCTTCACCATTCCAAATATAATTTTAAAAACAAGTTCTAGCAAAAAAGTTGTAGATATTGTTAACGATACCACACCTAGTTTCGAAAAAAATTTAATGCAACTTCACAATATAAACGAAGAACACATCAATTGTTTTCTTGAAAATATTGTTTCAAACCCCTTGGATGTGTATGCTCACCATGTGACTATTTACATATCTGGTTTTATAGCTAGAAAAGTAATTAAAGTTATAAATTGTTATAAATGTCAAATGTTAATGGTAGGAGAAAAAGAAAATTTCTTTACATCGTTAATTAATAAAAAAGATAGGGGAGGTTTAACGTATCCGTCTAATGGTCTTATAAAAATAGTTCAATTGTGTGAAAAATTCTTAAAAATGTTCAAGGGAAATATAAATTACACAAGTCTGATTACATATATAGCTGATTCCTCAAATTACTATTCAGATTTAAAAACGAATGATGAACATGATTTTAATCACTTGTATTTATTAGTAAGTGTAATTGTTAAGAATTACATTGATTTAAGGATGAAGCATGATGCTAAACAAAGCAATCTTTCTGACCGGAATTATCTGAAAAAAATTATTTTGTTTAAAAATAAATGATTCTTGAATACTTCTGTTTTTTATTCAACTCCATCCAATTACATTTGTAGGTTGGTAAATATTAATTACGTGCAATTTGATAACTAGTATTTTCGATAAACACAACCAAATTTGTAGTCTCTAATTAGATACAATCAGTATAGAGGTTGTGTCTTAATATAAGTACCAAGGGTATAGCGAGTAGTTTTATCGTAATTCTGTGTCCGCATGACAAATATTCGGCGCGATTTGATGACTATTTATAAATCAAATTACGATAGTAAGTTGGTAATCAGAAGTAACAATACTATATAAAAAAGTGAAGTGATAATTGTACATTGTAATTACTTTAGAAAAAAAAAAAAGAAATAATTTAGAATTTTGCAGTGTTAAAGAAATAAAATATCAATAATTTATCCATTCAAGTCCCCGAATCCGGCCCTTTGAATTTTATCAGTGTGCGTGAAATAAGCATGTGGGTGTATTTGGCACGCTTTTTTAGTCATATGTTAGGTCTGCTTCTCTTTATAAGTCTGTGGGTTTTAGCTAGCCTATAGTGAATGAAATATAGAGTATTAATCGGGAAAGAATTACACAGAGTATTAATATAAAGAATCGACACCAACAATTACAAATGTAACAAATAGTTCGATTTAAAGATTTTCGTTTTAATTTATATAATGGGTTCAATGATAATATAACATACAATAGATATGACACTAGACCTCTGCATCCACGGACTTTTTAGTTCATAAATTTGATAATTACTGTATGGAGCTTGCTCATTGAATTTAGTTCCATCCATCAAAAACAGATGTCACTGGTCTAAATGTGCATCAATTTTTAACTATGGTAAAATTAAATTAAAATTACGGAATTTCTGGATTCGGTAGCCGTCCTCAAAAGCATCTAAGAATTCCTTTCTTGCATTGGAATTATATTTTATACCATACGCCATTGTGCCTTTTAGGTATCTCATACTGCTCAACTGCTTCTCGATAGGGAAAGTGAGCATCGTCATCAGCTTTCCCTGTTTCAACAGTTTCTTTTTTATATAGGGATTGAAGTTGGGCTACAATGCATCATTCTAAATCTTTCTAATACTTTCTTAGTATATGCTTCTTCTTTCAGTATGATTGAACCATCTAATTTCGAAAGCTCCATACTCAGATAGAATGAAGCTGATTTCGTAGTTAACTTTATTCTTTGTTGAAGATCATTAAGAAATTCTTTTGCCATCTTTTGATCAGTTGCAGATGTGAGACCGCCATCGACATAAAGTGATAATAAAAGTTTCTTTTTTCCTTGTCTCTTTATATACAAACATGTATCTGCACCACTTTGTTTAAATCCTAGTTCTACAAGAAACTATACAAGATAAAGATTTTCTGATGCAGCAACGCTTAAAAGAGAACGAATAGTAGCCATTCTTGCTACTGGGCTATACATCTCTTGGTAATCGATGCCTTCTCATTATCGAAATCCCTTCGCCACTAATCGTGTCTTGTAGCGTTCGATCATGCGATCACTGTTCTTTTTCAGCTTGAATACCCACTTGTAAGGTATGCATTTATTATAGGCTGGTGAGTTTTGAAGACTCCAAGTATCATTCTCCTTTAAAGATGATAGTTCTGCCTTCATTACAGTCAACCACTTTTCTTTATTGTTACTGTTAATAGCCTGTTTAAGTGTTACGGGTTCTTCGCATAATACATGGTTTAATGATGTTACATAATCGTTGAATTTTTCTAGTCTTTTGAGTGAAGAACGATCATGCAAATCATACCTTTGTTCTTAACTTGGTCGATACTGTCATGAAACTCATCATCTCTTACATTATTACCTTCATCAAAATGTTCTGTCCCTAAATCAAGCGATTGTCCTTGTTATTGTCCAGTTTCCACTTGAGCTCCCCTCTCTGGCTCTGTTGAATGTATATCATCTTCAATTGTACGTTCCACTATGATTTCATCATTCGAAGTGTTACAATCCTGTGACATTTGTTGTTGAAATTCATTTATCGCGTTTTCTTTACCTGCCTCAGTCTTTGCATCTTCTGATGATAGAGTTGATTCATCGACTCTCGACTGAACAAGACGATTTTTCTTGCCGTCAGCAATCCGAACTCTGTAGCCGTCTTTATCATATCCGATAAGATGCCCTTTAATCACTTTCTTGTATATTTTTTTCGTTTTGCTTTGGAACGTGTACAAATATCCACTCCAATTTACTATGACATGTATAATGTTCGGGTTTTTTCCAAACCAGACTTCGAAAGAGCTCTTACATTTTACTCTTGATGAACCTGTTCGATTTAGTATATAGGATGATGTATTTATTATTTCATAGCATAGTTCTTGTGGAAGAGGTTCGTACACGTAAATAAGTGATCTTCCAGTCTCGACAAGAGTTCGGGTTTCGCGCTTACTACAATCAATTTTGCTGTGGGGTATAAGGCATAACCAACCTTTGCTTGTTACCATGTTAATCTAAAATATTTTTGACACGTGTTTTTGAACTCTCCTCCGTTATCGTTCAGAATAGTTTTTATTGTATACCTTGAGTTTTGACTGCTTGAATCATATATTCAAGTTTGTCTTCGTTCCATAGCTAGAGTAGTCTTTAAAAAGTACATAATATTGAAACTTGGTACTAAACGACTACTAACTACTAAACGTGGCTTTGTTTAAATGGTCCACAGAGGTCAGTGTGGATTAATTCTCCGGGTTCGGTTCGCTCAGTTTTCAACATTAAAAGCCAACTGCTGCGGAATGCAAATTATTCTTCACTGAGAGTATCTAAGATTTTATAAGCAAGTAGCAATTCCGGTAACTCATTAGATTTACCTATAGCAATTTCGATATTTAAATCGTTCTAGATATTCTTCAGTTTCGACATATGACGTCGTCTGATGGATCTCGTTTAGCTCCAAAGAATTTCATGCATAAATCATAGGACTTATCTTCACAACTGCCGCCAAAAAATGGTTTGTCGGTAAAATAGTTAAGTGACATGACTATCAACAACACTGTCAAAGAGAATGTAATCACTACGTTTACACTGTTGCCAAGCTATAACACCACGCAGTATAGACATGTATCATCTATATTAATAAACATCATTGACGTAAGCTGGTTGCAAAGCGAGCAATTTCATGGTAATCGGTATTACCATGGTTGTCATGTATAAAATTGTAATAATAAAACAATTCACAACTTTTTGATATTTATCTACAATTCAAAGTTACTTTAAATAACATTTTGAGTTGTGTTATTTAACTTAGAGGTGACGTTTTAAAGAAGTAAAACTTTTATGAGTGTATTTATAATTACACATGAAGTTTTTAAAAATTATATTTAACTTATTTAATTATATTATTCATATGAACTAAAAACACAAGAGGTTAACTTGGTCCATTTCATGTCAATGTTATCTGTTATAGTTGAACGAAAAATCGTTTCAACGAAATTAGGAATGTTCTCTAGGGCAATCCTGTCTGCCCAAAAAAGCGTATTGTATCGATATGTCGTATGGTAAACTTATCGAATTTGTATCGATACGTGATTTTATCGCTTTTCTTTATATCGATACATCGTAATCGTAGTGTAACAATATCGCATGCTTTTCAATCGATATGCGACGTAATAATTATATATCAATGAAAATAGGTATCTTTATGAGGTACTAAATGAATACTCTCATTTTTAATAGGGAAAATACTTAAGTATTTAAATTTCAAGTAAATTTATTCCGTAATATAAAAAATATTTTGAATTTGAAATAAAGAAGTTTTCATAGTAATTGCCAAAAAAAGTAAAGTATCAGCCTTTACATGTCCCACGGCTGGGCAAAGGCCTTCTTTGTACAGAGGATATCAGGGCGTAGTCCACCAAGCGGCCCCACTCCGGATTGGCGGACTTCACATATCTTTCAAATATTTTTTTCTAATATTATTTCGCAAATATGCAGATTTCCTCACGATTTTTTCCTTCACCGCTGAGCACGTAATAATTCAGCACTTGAAATTAACAATTCTATTGGTACCGGCACCAAGGATCGAACTCAGGTTACTCGAGTATATTGAAATAACACCCGGACACGGAGCTGCCACGGCTAGTAATTGCCATTGATCTGCAATTAAGCATTATCTAAACAAAAGTCAGTTCCAAAGAGTACTTTAATATATCTTTTATATATCTGGTCAGCTCGTTGTATAAACAATTCGCCCGTGTTATCTCTTTTGGGGCCGGATATGACGATAAAACATCCCTTCAGGCCCCTTCATCTAGTTTCTTAAATAGGTGACTGTTGGTCAATAAAATAACTTGCAGTATATAAATGGCGTATATTTACTACTGGACATTATGGCAATCCGATGGCACAGTATCTGCTAATGTTGCAATGAAAATCTGTGAGCCATAACGGACCAAAATATTTCCTTTTTACTGCCACGTCTGGAAAGATCAACATCAAGTGTCAACCAACGTGAAAAAGAAAACGCGTCGACCCACAGATTATCAACCTACGACGCCACACCAACCTCCCACCGAGAAATTTGAACACACATTGGTAAAAAAAAATAGAATAGAGCAGTAACAAATATTAAATTAAAATCAAATCTTTCTAAAAAATCTAAAATTTCTCTAAATTTAACCTTTCTTCCGGCTCTAGTAACGGTAGGTGCTGGAGCTGAAGGTTCGGTCTGGTTTGGGAACGGATGGTGAGGAAAGTACTTTGGGAGTGGACGTAGGAGCAAAACATTTTTGAGGAGAAACCCGGTTTCTGCAGAATTTTAGGTTGGGCGTTCGGAGTTGAGATGCTGGGATCTAAGAAAGCTGGTTTAACTCGGTCAATACTAACAGTCACTTGTCTGCCTTTTACTTCCAGCGTCACTGTTTTTCCATCATCAGCTCGATGCACTATTCTGAATGGACCTGTGTAAGGACGTTGCAAGGGTTTTCTTACAGCGTCATCTCCGAGGAAGACATGAGTTACCGATGCGAGATCTTTAAAGATAAAAGAAGCAGGTTGACAATGTCTAGATGCAGGCACCGGACGCAATGATGACATTTTTTTACGGAGTTGGCTGACAAAGTCACTGGGGTCGTTAAGAAAACCTGGCTCTGAGGCAGAGACTAGTAATTCTCCTGGCAATATCTAAGTGGATTCCCATAAACCAATTCGGCGGCTGTGGTTTTTAAATCTTCCTTGAAGGCGGAACGCATGCCAAGGAGAACCATGGGAAGTGATCAAACTCAAGAATCGCTGTGGCACATGAGGGCTGCTTGGAGTTGTCGGTGAACTCGCTTAACGAATAACATTACATTCAATAGCATTTTCTATGATCATTTTGTTATTATACCATAATGTGATTTTTTTAAAGGAATGCGAAATATCGAGCGTATCGTATGGCTCAAATATCGATATATTGTATAGTGCTGTATCGATATAATGAAATATCGTTTCGTATCGGGCATCCCGTAGTGCTCTTCCTCTGAAGATTCCCAAGTACATACAGTATATCAGTATTCAATCAGACTGTCAGTCTGTCACTGACAGACATTTGCTTTTGCATTTTGCTGGTACGACTGTCAATGAAGTTAGTCGAATTTGGAGGTCCATTGACAAACTCTACGAGAGTAAAATGTTTACAAATTAAAAATATTTTTCTTTTTATATAATATGAAATATTTAGATTTTTCGCCAATTTTATGGTTGATATGTAATTGAGTGACACTCACGAAGATGGTAGGCCGCCTCACAACCGCCAAACAAGGCGTAAAATACGAACAGCTGTCTTCTAAATCTGATGCCGAACAAGAAGTATTTACTAGTAAATCGAAAGGAAAATGGTCTGAAATATGTTTTCAGAAAAGTCTCTTATCGTTGGGACTAATTTTGTTGTATTTTTCGCTTTCTATTGGCCTTACTTTCTATCAAAGATGGCTTTTAAAGGTATGTTTCAACAAGTTTTATATTCTTGCGTAGTATTTACGCATTTATAATGTATTCTGAATATCTTTATAATGATCTAATTTTTGTTTAATAATAATGGTGCGAATAAATTTGAATCTTATTTTTTAAAACACATTAGAGTGGTAAAATTTCAGACTATTTAATTATAGAAAACTGAATTTTCAACATTCATTTTGTACAAATTAACATAAGTCGTTACTTTATTCGATGACAGGTATAGTAATTGAGTATACTAAAAGAAAATAATCACAGACGTGTGAGTGTGATGAGTCTGTGATGATTTTCTTTTGCTGCTTTAACACACATGCATTTATAATATTATCTTATAATGCAAGCAAAACATTTTACATCAGCTCAAATCCACAAAAATTTGATCAACAAATACGTAACATTCAAATACTATTGAAATTCTTATAAATAAAATGTTTAATAAAACATTCTGCCTTCTCATATGTTCTAAAAGATAAAGTTCTTGCCTTATCATGGTCTTGTATTAGCGCTAAGATAAAAAAATCTTGTTTAAAATAATTATGCATCTTAATATTTAGCATATTGGCTGTACTATCGTTCTGTGCATTAATTAAAAAATAATAAAATGTTTCTATTATTTTCTACAAAAGATAAAGTTTTCTGTAATTTGTAATCATAATTGTTAAGATGCAATTCCATCAGTGTGTTGAACTTAGTGTATGACACAAATGCTTGTTCCAATCACTAAAGCAAGCAGTACCCAATTGTGTGTGAATGTTTTAGAAATGAATGACGCACATCTGCATACTTTTGTGCGTGCATACATGCAAGTTGTGGACTCCCATTGACACTCACACACTCATACTTCTTGAACTCAATCTTGCTTCCGGCTCGTCTGGGAAATTACCACTGTCTTACTGAACATCAGCGAGAAGTTGAAGTATTATATATTTGCATTCTGTCTTGTGAATGAGGTAACTGGGATCTGGAACTTTTTTAAAGGTTGTCAATGCATCTGCAAGCCTTCAGGTTTTATAAATGTCCGTGCGTCATCTGGTGCGTTACTTGCTGGTTTGATATCTTTTCACATAACAAAAAATAATAGTTTTTGTAGGCAAATTATATATAGTAAATTATGTTTTTGGCCAGTTTCAATATTCTGTCTACAGATAGGTTTTGTTACTGGAGATAGAATTTTGACATATGCATTATGGAGCTAATGTCAAATGCTGTTAAATTATTGATCTTTGGCTTTTGCTGTTTTGTAGTGTTATTTAGACCATGAGTCTTTAACTAAAAATTTATGTAACAATTTCATATGCTCACAATTATATTTGCTGTTCACAATATTTGCATTATTACAGGATTTTCGGTACCCACTTACTGTGGTCATGTACCACTTGATTATAAAATGGATACTGTCCATTTTTGTAAGGACTATTTTGTACCTCATTACGGGTACTCCTCAGTTGGTGCTTTCATTAATGACATGCTTGCGATCTGTTGGACCCACTGGTTTCGCCAGTGGGATTGATGTTGGTTTTTCCAATTGGGGACTTGAGCTGGTCACTATATCTCTGTACACTATGACAAAATCCACAACTATAATCTTTATCCTTGGATTTGCCATTTTTCTGGGTCTTGAAAAGAAGGTGAGTGCCAAAAGCCATTGACTTTTAAAAGAAAACCTGTTAAAGCATATTGTAAACAGGTACATGCAGCTCAAAACAGGAGCCTGTCTTACTAGCTTACTAATGAATTCTCCATTTTGTTTATGAACTTTATTAATTACTACTATAATTATGGAGTACAATAACAGTTTTCAGTTTCCTTATTAATGTTATCAACATTACTTTATGTTATTATCATTTAAAAACATTATTTTAATGTAGATATATTTTTTTCTTAATTATGTAAACTGTGTTGAGTAACACAAATTGGAAATAGCCAACAGAATTGGCTTGGCGTAATAATTATTTTTCCATCTTATAAAATTCTTGATAACTTTAAATAAATGTGCAGTGGAATTGATAAGAATCTCTATAAGCTTCCATTCTAAAAAACGTAAAAATATTTATGATTAAAACGTAAATATATTTAGATTTAGAAATATGTTTTTAACCTTAAGAAATATTTTGTTTAAATGAAAGTGTGCCCCTAATTATAATAAAACTCAATTTTTGATAATCAAGTGTTTTTTGCCGATATTGGCTAACCGATTATAACAAATCTGCCAGTAGCTTTTTTATATTTTATAAATTAAATGCGATCAAACGTTCACTGTCTTAAGCTATCATTTGTTTTATTGTCTTCAATGTGATATCTTGCTGGTTCCGATAAAATGTGTGTTGCAAAGGAAACGTGTACATTGTAAGGATCGTCTTATCGCCTCGCTGACGATGTTTGCCTCGCTATTTTGTTACTGGCTAGATAACTGCGCACCAGTCTCGGAGCGAGGAGCCGCGAATTGTTATCGAAATTCGATACGACGTTCCTCATCTTGGTCTTTGTTTAGCTTCTATACATTTCGATAATAGAACGTTGTTGTATTTTCTATGGCGTTTTTGTAAATGTTGTTTTACTAAATGTAACTCAAAGTCGAACAGCAGATGTTTCGTTACAAATGCTAAAATAATTCAATATCCTGTTAAAAAAGTTTTTTATTATTTACAAGTAATCGCATTGCGTGTCCAACATGGCCGCTTAAGCGGCTCAGGTTTCACTGATGATTATTTAATTCGAAGCACGGTTAAAAACGTTTGATTGAACATGCACCGTTAAAAACATCGCGTGTTAGGTTAGGACCTTTAAAACATTGTATTGAAACTCAGTTTAGCTTAGCCTTTACCCTTAATTTATACGAGAAAATAAAATTCTTTTAAATCGCTTATGATATAGCCGTAAATAAGGGTAAGCGTCGCCAATCCATTTCCTTCAAAATACGATTTTCTTCGTAGTCCTGGTCGCTGGTGGGCATTGTGCTCACGATTGCCGCCGGACTGGTGATGTTCACCTACAAGGCGACGCAGTTCAACATCCTCGGCTTCTACTTCCTCCTACTGGCATCGTTCGCAGCGGGGCTGAGGTGGTCCTTCGCCCAGCTCCTCATGCAGAGGTCCAAGCTTGGCCTCCACAATCCCGTAGACATGGTGTTCCACGTGCAGCCCTGGATGTTCCTATCCCTCCTGCCGTTCACGGTCATGTTCGAAGGTCAGTTTAGAATAGTTAATCTAAATTCTAAACCATTCTCGAATCTACTTCAAGGCGCATGGAAATTTCACACGCGTACAGAAGAATTATATCCTTACTAATATTATAAACGCGAATGTCTGTATGTATGGATGGATGTTTGTTACTCTTTCACGCAAATACTACTGAATGGATTTTAATGAAACTTTACAATAATATAGCTTATACATCAGAATAAGATATTGGCTATAACTTATATACATATTTTATGTATATATGTCTGAATGTTACGCCTTCAGCCTATTCTACGCAGACGTAGTCGCAGGTAGCAGCTAGTAATATATAAAGATATCCCTCTGTTAGAATAGGTATATTCCATAATCAATTACCTGTTGAGCCATTACTTACATATTATGAAAAGAAGAGGTTATTGCTAAGAGGTGCAGTCATCTCCGAAATTACATGATGTCATAAATTTTTGTCGTGTCCTTCGCAGAAACTCATTTTTTTTAAAGTACAGGAACAATAAAACTGAAAACGTGTCTTAATTAATCTAATTAACTGTCTATTAGAGTAATAATGTTATTAGAACATTTTTATAACACCAATTATCGGTTAGTAATTTGTTCTTGAATCGTACACAACGTAATGGTACTTGTACTTGTATTAACTGATGTTTTTGCTTTCAGTCCCGAGACTATTAAAGCTTCATCTGACGCAGAACCGGTGGGCTAGCCAGAACCCACGGGTTTGGGCCCTCCGCTGTGGGTAGGGCCACGCATGTGCTCATGCGTGCGTTTAAGTGTGGTATGTCATCTAAGGGCCATCGAGGTCGCGGTTCGGACCGAAACCCCGATGGCCGTCGACTGTGCAATTAGCTAATCGGTGGCTGGGGGCGGTGAGAACCGCCCCGGAACGCGGGTGTACCTTGTGTACGCGTTGTGTTGGTCTCGCCGTGCTCGGAGGCGAGGGCGAACTAGTGTGTTTGTTGTTGCACTAACTGTGGGTGTAGTGTTGTCCGGCGGGACCGCCGGCAGTGGGTCCGGCGTGTCTAAGTCCCCTTCCTCGACCGGGTCGATTAGGACGTTTCGCGGGTGACGCTTGTTGACGTTCGCGTTTTTGTCGGGTTGGTAATTTGCTGCGCTTACCACCAGAGGGTTGGGATGATGTTCGGCTCTATCGAAACGTAATGGTGCAGGTGTGGCTGTGAGCTATCACGGCTCTCTAGCGAAGAATACATTCACTTTATTCTTTTTATACTTTGAAATATTAGTAGATTGATTAAAAAGCAATCTTACTTTGTATATATTAAAGGTGTAACGTCAAATGTGCAAACAAGCGACAAATGTCGTCTTGGCGGCATCTTAATTCGTTTCAATTGACACCTGTTTGCTCGGGTGTGAAGTAAACAGAACAAAACTGTTCAACTGTAAATGTCAGTTCGATTCGCTCCGTCGAAATAAAACGAACGAGTCGAATAGATTTTTAACTAATACTAGCTGACTCGGCAAACTTTTTTTTTTTGCCATATAAATTATTTCTAGAGGAATCTGAACGCACGCATAAAGTGTTTGACAGGTTACACAGACATAGTAGACAGGTTAATAGGTACCTACAGTTTGTATGGGAAAATTAAATAGTTGCTATTTCGATTTTCCATGAAATTTTTACATAATTTGTCATCGTTTAAACCTTCCCTGGACTGCCACAAATATTTCAAAACCAAAAATAGCCAAATCGGTCCAGCCATTCTCGAGTTTTAGCGGGACTAACGAACAGCAATCCATTTATATATAAGAAGATTTTGTTGTGGCACGCGCAAACGATTATTACGCAAAAGGCTCAATTCACCCTAATTCGGCAAAAAAACGAAGAAGCCTAACAAAAAGTAATTTCGTGAACTGGGGCCGCGCTGAAGAAGTGAACTTTTTTCCCTCCCAATTACAAACACTTCATAGGATTCGTCGGAAGTTGTTAAAAAGGGCTTAAATATTTCCACGAAATCAGAACGGTGTAATGAGTTACAAAACGTGATATTATTATCTATACAGATAAATAAAATTGGAGTGTCTGTTTGTAATATTAAAAATATTCGCGTTTTACTCAATGCATGTGGATATATACACGGTACTTATACCAAAATGTTTTTTTTTACAATTTTTGTCTGTCTGTTTGTTCCGGCTAATCTCTGAAACGGTTGTTATGATTTTGATGGGACTCACTAACAGATAGCTGGTGTAATAAGGATTAACTTAGGCTATTTTTATTTTAGAAATTTTGTTTATTGTAAATTCCACGCAGACGAAGTCGCGGGCACAGCTATTATCACATAAAAGTCGCGATAAAATCAATTTTAATTGTGTGTCGTTCAAGATTTTTCAGAAGATATTTTCTTTGTACATAAATATTTTTTTCACGATATAGAATATTTAAAAGACCGCGTTGCCATTGAATATAAGTTTTTATAAATTTTTACGTTTTTTATTCCTAAGTTCCAAAGGTAACAAAAAAGGCACAGCGAAGCATCTGGTCTGGTTAGCTTATACTATTTTATGATACGACTTCTCGTATCACAAAATGGTAACACTGACTCTACACTCAGTGTTGCTACCGTAATAGTTGTGGTACTTGAATAATTTTAAATGACAATAGTTTTAACATCGATTTCGCAAAAGTTTATATAACAGAGCATGTGACAGGCGACCTTGTTTTACTCCGTCTCAACTCATAATATGAATCAGACACTGCGCATTTATGTATATATAAGGAAACTGTGTTAATATTAAAATGTCATATTTAACATTTAATAACAAAAAAATATATCATTTTAACGGTGGTAGGGCTACGCAGCAGCGTCGGCTGTTGCACGAATGGACAGGCTCGTCCGGGTAAGTACCACGACCTCACAGAAGACCGGCGTAAAGTGGAAGTATATATATAATACTTTCGCATTTCGTCTGGTGAGTGAGGTGGCCGAAGCCCAATCTCCAAAAGGTTGTTAACACATCTCGAACCCTCGAGTGTAGCAGATGTCCATGGGCGGAGGTATTCACATAACATCAAGTGAACCGTCTGCTCGTTTGGCAACTTATCACTTAAAAAAAAACATGGAACTTAAAAATAGTCGAAAATATTGCATACGGAACACTTAAAAATAATAAATAACTTAATAACTTAATTGTATAAATTAAAAAAAGAGCTTAACAAAACTTCATTTATTAGCACTTGTTTTCGCAGCATTCGTATTTATTGTGTTGGTTCATACAGCTGAATAAAAAGCGTTTGTAAATGAAATGGAAACATTCCAATTTCAAAATGCAAACCGAATGTGAAGAAAATTTATTTACACTATTCTGTCTTGTGGTTTGTGTATTGCCCGCGTTTACATGCAGAAATTTAAATTCGCCGATCGGTTGGTATTGCATTTTATGTTCTTTTTCGGTTATACTTGTGTTGTCCGTTTTTGTAATCGTGTACACAATTCGTCATGTCTTTTGATACGCTTAGGGAATGTTTATGGAGATGATACAGTCCGATAATGTCGCGTCAGAGCGGGATCCTTAACAAAGAGTTGTCTATTTGTGAGTTCTATTTCGCATATCATATCTGCATTATGTTTCATGAAATACTTTATGGAAATGTAATGAGAAATAAGAAAGAAAACCAGCTATATGGCCGGTCCACTGCCACTTCAGCTTTTTAATCCCCGTAATGAATGAGTGCATTAGTTAATGACTATGGGGAGTTTTAAATGTAACTTTGTTCAGATAAAGCCTTCCAAAGCAAAAAAAAAAACGAAATGTATCTACAGTGCTTCTATATATAATAATATATAATAAATAATGGTATGTTCTATAATCTCTATCTAATCTATCTAATAATAGTAATAATAATACTATGCTCGTATTTATTTTACTTAGGTTTTATTTCGTGACGGTGTTCCAGGGTCCGCTTGCTTCGAATACCTGAAGGGCCTGCCGAACGAGCAACTGTTGCCGACACTTCTCAAAGTGTCCGTGGGCGCTACAATTGCATTCGCGATGGAGATCAGCGAGTTCCTGGTCGTCACCTACACCTCGAGTCTTACCTTGTCCATCGCGGGAATCTTTAAGGTATTCCGACAAATACTATTCTCCAGAAACTTCTATCTACAGAAGTAAACAGAAGTTTCGAATTACGTGTAAAACGCGTTACACGTAAATTATCTAACTAAATCGCCGTCTTTCTCGTTAAATATTACTCTAACATCACTGGCATTTCAATTACTAGCACCACACCAGTATGTCTAAAAAAAGAACATGTATTTACAACGACAACATTCAGACGCATATGTAGTTCTTTCAAAAACCTGCTTAAAATAATGATATTTAATATTAGTTTTAATGTTAAAAACTTGTATCAGACTAGAAGTGCGATCAGCGGCCCAAGTTGTAATTTTACGTGAAGAAAATGCTTTTATAGTACCGATAGTCTTATTTTATCCGGTACTTTCCGCTCTGACGCTCACATTGTTAGACTCAGGGCTGTATCATCTCCAAAAACTTTCCCCAAGCTATCCAAAGACCGAAATGTCCGGAACGTATCGAACGTCGTATGAAACGTCGCATCTAACAATTTTGAATGGTCGTATTAAAAAAAAGAGCAGCAAAAGACACGAACAGGCTGAAATGACGATGATGGTGATGATTTGGGCTTACCGATTTCTTTGAAAACATATCTCACCATGAATCTTTTTTACTTGTTTACTCATAACTGCCACTAACTCTTTAATAATGGTGTGGTACAGTGTTAGTCGATTATTAGAGGATAATATAATAAACGTTGGTGTACTCGCTGGTTAGTAGTAGTCAGATTATTCAAGGATTTTTGCTTGGCACGTCGGTGTCGTTTACTTAACACAGGTTAAGAAAGTTCCTGCTCCAAGTGGAGGCGTGTTTTTGTTTGTTTAAATATTCATAACATCATGTAAATATTTTCGTATCAAACCTCCATCAATCATATAAATAACGCGAAAGTTTTCCATTTGAAAGTTTCACGTTAACTTATTTCATATGCTGATGTGTCCGCAAAACTATAAAGGCCACTATGTCATGTTATCTGACATGTTATGTCCAACTCCAATAATATTTTTTACCTTTGCGGGGAACAGTCTTAATAATTTAAGCATTATGCCGCTGTCGAGTAAGCAGTGACAACGATGTATTATGCATTCTTTGACCGCTATCAATTTGCAAAGTTTTCAATTGATGGAGTGTCCGATGTTATGGAAGAAAAAAAACGTTTGTTATTCGTTATATGCCAACTTTTAAAATAGGTTTTTCGTTTTTTAAGAAAATAACAACAGCCTATGTGTAAACTACATACCCATATTATGGGCTAGTTTGCAAATAATTATTTTTACCCAAGTCAATTGAAGTTGTCGAATTTTCTTTTCCTCTCGAAAAGATATGTTAGAAAGTTGTTGTTTTAATAAACGAATATATATCATCTTCATTTGCGGAAAGTAGAAACACGTTTGTCAATGATTAATATAATTTAGATCAAAGCATTTAATACAATACTTGAGCCCACGGTGACTATTTGGCATAATAAATTATACCAAACATTCTACATGTGTATATATGCAGAAAATAAAATAAAACTATCAATTTTTACTTTTCTACTTTTGATGACAAACACTTTATTATTTGTTTTCGAATAGTTGAACATAATAAATATTGTCATCTTTGTCCGGATTGTCTGAAAATACTAATAAATAACAATATTTAAATTTTTAGGATAATCGATCGAATTTCGACCAATAGACAAATACTTAGTTATTAATTAGTTACTTCGCATATTCGATCGGCGCTACGATGGAAGAAATGCGTCCGAATGTTCTCGTTGCTTATTTACTTATTTATATATCCGCTAAGTAAGCTCCATTATGGGGGCTGTGTTGAATCGATTTAGCGATTTTACTACGATAATAGCGGTTAATGCATCATGTTACCACGGCATCGCTACCACAGCAAATTGTCACACCGTCCTGCATTGGGGTGCCGTTTAAAAATCCAGGAGATGTGCATCCTGATACTGGCCGTTGAGGTGAGCGGCGACCAGCTGAGCCCGGTCAACGTGGTCGGCCTGGCGCTGTGCCTGATGGGCATCGTGGGCCACATCGTGCACAAGGTGCTGGTGATACGCGCCGTCACGGGCGCCGCGAGAGCGCTCAACGGCGACGCCCACGAGCCGCAAGGTAACGGCGCCGCGCTGAAGCGAGACGGCGAATACAACAGGCCACTGCTGGCCGCGCAGAAGTGGGACAACGCTAGCGAGGAGAGCGACGTCGACGCGAGCTTGGTGCTGCGCGAGGTGCTGCAACGTCGCGACGGCCAGTGAGGGCACCGCCGTAACACCTACCGGCCGTGTCACGTTCTCTTCCAGTACTTCCAACGTCTGCTTTATGTGTATCTTCCGAAAAAACGCTTCCACGGCCGCGTTCATAATACCTGCATGGACGCGATAGCCCTCGCGTTGCCGGACGATGTAACGTCGGTGATGCATTTGTAAACAGATTTTCTCAGAGTTTACATTTATAGATATTTACAATAAAATTGCGAGTATCGCACACCATTATTTATTTACAAAAATATTGTCTCATCGCAAGGTGGAATTGTTAAGGTAAACGAAACGGTTCTGAGGCGAGATTTATAAGCATTTATCGATAGATTTAAGACACTTCGCATTTTGATAGTGTTATGCAAACGGTACTGTTTGATATAATGTGAAGGGCTCATGACGGTTTGAGGTATTTATACGTATATATATATATATATATATATATATATATATCCAGTGTGATTTTACTAACGTTTAGTATGAACGTATCAATGAAAAACAACATTCCATTGGCAGTTAAAACACAGGTATGTAATTATATCCCTTCAATTCTATCTTTACATCTTTTTACTAAGGCAAGTTTCTAATATTTACGTACCCATGGATCTAAAATTAACCTAGGCTAGCTTCTTAATGAAATCAATTATTGTTAATATTTAGTTGCTATAGCTATTTTTTCATAAAATTAAATTCCACTATAGCTTTTTTTATTATTTTCTTTGCATTTGACGAGATCTCCTTAGCCTCGATACTAAAAAATCTTGTCAGCTATCAATTCATTTTATTCAAATTAATGACATTGTGATAGTTTATACATTTACTATATTTATCTATAAAACATCCCATATAAACCGTTCATTTACGACGCCAATAAACATAGTCCAGCCGTTGAAACTGAAGTTCTGCTTCATTATGTGAAAAATGTTTAACATTAACGATTATTCTAGTACCGCGTTTATACGGTACGGTTATGTAATAATTTGTATTTTTTTTTTTCACAAAATTGACATTCCTTTCGTATACGCAAACAACGCTTCCGTTGATAAAAGTATCAAATAGTTTTATGGGGCATAATCGATTTTGACTATGTTACATTTTGGGCAGTTGTGGTAGCCTAAAAATGCCGACAGGTGTTACTTGATGGCATTTTTAAGCAATCTACACCAACAAAGCGCATAACGAGCTAAATGTCCAAAGAGCATAACATTACTTTTACCAGCCTATTTATCGTAGTCAATGGCTATGCTATCACTAATGCCCGGTTCCTATATTCATAGAGCCGTTAGTTACATAGTTTCGTAACTTTCATAACGAATTGTAGATAAAGACGTGTACGTCCGGTTCTTACATTAGCAAAGCGAGGCATTTTCCTTACGAGCCGTTGCATTACCTACGAAATGTGAGTTACTAGCGCTCCTTTAATCTACAAGAATGTAACTAACGGCCGTTCGTTGAATATAGGAACCGGCCATAAATCTGTACGGCGTTAGGTTGTAACATCAACTCCGTTACTGTTCGTAGCCACCGAACCAACATCAACCGTCCGTATTCATGTTCTGTTTGGAGATACAACATATTAGCGGCAAACGCGAAAGCAATGTGATCATACCAGATTGTAACAGCCCTGATCAATCTGATTCCAAACTGCGAATGCCAAACTTAAGTGTAGGCCTGCGAATCCTTTTATACAGCGTGGCGTTACCATCGCGACAATAAATGAACACACGTCTAACGCTACATGCCAATATTCATAAAAAAATATTAACGTTAAACAAAATCCATAATTAAAAAAAATATTTTTCAAACAAACTAATTAAGTAAAAAAGAAACAAAATTTGTAACATCTTATACAACACGCGCCACAGTGTCGTATTACAAGCCTCTCCTTCTAACAGTACATTCAACCCATTCATATGCTTTGTGACCTTTACAAATGAACTTTACGTTACGCTTTTATAGGTGAGGGTGTTCAAAAATTCTTTGTTTTGGAAAATTTAATAACTCTGTAAATATTGATGTTTAAAGAATTTAAATGTTTAATACAACTTTAAAAAGTTATCCCCTATATGTGTGTTCATTTATTGTCGCGATGGTAACGACACGCTGTATATACAATATTTGCACGCTTTTGACGGACAAACTTTATTCTGTGTGTATTTATAAGTTTTTACACTGAAAAGTCGGCCGTGAGAAAGATCGCGACCCTTGAATTATTCGAGATACATCATAAATATTCCGAAGATACATCTAGTCTACTCACAAAGGGGCCCGTGGTCTTCGTAGCCTGGCCTTCAATGGGCTATGGCCAGTTATGGTATATCTGTAAGATTCAAACGATCCACGTCGATTTTTGTTTCGGTCATTGGGAATTTTTTTTTGTTTATGTAAGTAAAAGTTTCATAAGATAATCGGAACGCGTAGGGGTGAAAAGGTGTTAAACTGTTGATTTACCGCATGCAACTAATTCGTACTAAGCTTCTAAAATATTTAGTCTAAAGTGTAGTAAACTTTTGGACTGATTCGTTTGGAAAACTAACGTGCCATCCATTACGTCTCATAGTTTCGGAAACTGGTGACGTCTTGAATAATAGATTATGTATTTTAAAGTACGGCTGCATCGCCACTTACCGTCAGGTGGGATGGCAGTCAAGTGCTAGCCAATATTGAATAAAAAAAATAAAATAAAAAAACATTAATCTCGACATGCAACACCAATTTAGAAATAAGTAGTTGTAAAGAATAAAGTTAACTAACCGTTGGATATCATTGATGACGCACAAATTGAACACCGTTGCCTGTTAAGTGAATTCATAAATAAGTAATTTTCATACAAACATATACACCAATTATATTATATAAAAATTTGTACAGCAGCTCTTGCCATATAGGTAATACATGTCATATTTTAGAATTGTTTTAAATTTATACATGCCATGGACTTTTGTCTTAAACGTCCTGGGGTTGCCATCTACGAATTACACTTGCATTGTCTACGAAGAGCACACTAATTTAAATATCACTGTCAAAATGCTTCTTTCGAGTCCTTTATATTTCTAACAGATGGCAACTCTAATATAGTAGAGGTTTTGTAAAAAATAGAAAGCAGATAGTATTAGCATTTTAGGACAAATATAAATATTGAATATGATCGAAGAAGAAGAAGATCCAATATTTTTATACTTCATTAAAACTACTGAAGGGATATCGATTTTATATTTAACTCATGACAAAACTTAATGAACTTGCAACTTAACCATACAGTTGAATTGTAACAATTTTCATACCACACTGGTACTTAACTACTGGTACATATATCAAAATACAGTTCTGCCGCTCAGAGGATGCGTAATTGACATTTGTCCGTTAGCCATAATTAGTGATGTGCAAGAAATAATATCTTTTAAACCGACCCACGGCAAGAGATGATTTTTCATACTTGTTTGAATTTTATTTTTCGAATATGTGTAAAAATGCCAGTGTTATTTAGAAATATTTTTTTATTTACTGATGCTAACGCTTTCAGTCCCGAGACTATTGAAGCTTCATCGAAAGCATAGAAATATTTATTATAGCAACCAAATATGAAAAATTTAAAATTTTTGCTACTAACAAAAGAACTAGTTTCATCATATTCCGATTATCTGGAAGAGCTTTTCATCATATTTGCAGTTAGTTACATTATTATCAATATTATTAAATCTGATGTCTCCGTAGTTTTTCCAAAATAAGATTTTTTTGTATTTTCTTCCACTCACTCATTTATCGTTCACTCGTTTTTAGTTTTTTTATATACAAAACTATAATATTATTAAATTTATCTTTAATTCCCTTATTATCTAATTATTAGAATAAAATACGTATTACTTTATATAGTATCAAAAAATTACGTTGCATTATCTATTGTATTTGACACATCACTACAAAAATAACTCGCTGATATGCCCTTGTAATAACTCATTTAAGTTTATGTAATTATTGTTTTCTTACTTAACAATAAACTTAGCACAAATCTATTCATTCATATGCATGTCGTTTTTAATGTGTTGTTTCTTAGTAACGCAAATAAACTAAAAATATTTTCATCATTAATGAAACGCTACTTCAAAGTTACGTCGTGATTTCGATTACGAACTGTCGTCAGGAACGCATTCTCAGCGGCCGCAGTATAGTAAGGCGAAGTTTCATTGTTATTTTATGTACATTTAATTGTAATGTTGGAACAGTGATTTGAAATTATTTTTGCTAGAAGATTGTGAATATTAATATTTTCATGTAAACAACGGTTGAGCAAAATAGTCTGCATGTACGATATGTGAATGTTGATGTTGTATTTACTTTGAGCTAATTATTGATATAAAAAGTGTTATTAATCTGAAAGGTTTTGATATTTTTATTAAACATTGTTAAGGGAATACAGAAAAAAATGACAAATAATGGTCGAAAAAATGGTTCTCTCAAGTAAATGAAACAAAACTAATGCTGTTCATAACAGGGAGCTTAATAAATAGCCAGCTTTGTTACTTATACAAAGAATTGAAGTCATAATTTTCTGTTTGTGTTTTGGCCGAATATTGTGAGACGCTTGACGCTTTTTTGTTAAAACTATTTCCCCTCCAACCGACTTCGTTTTTTTTAAGATGGTCATGTTTAGTATATTTTCGGTCATCAGCTCACCAGAAAATTAAAGAAACCATCTACTACATGTACGGTTTTTTATATACATCAAAAAATATTTTTTAATAGAAGCTTAGTCATATAAAACATTTATCATAAATTTTAAGTACATAGTATATGTTTTATTTCTTAAGTACTTTACCCCAGTAAAGACTAGTTATTAAGTTTAGAATAATTCTTCCTTTTGTATTATAATTTCATTGCTCATCAAAGCTGGTAACGAAATTTGTTTTTTTCATTTTAATTTAAGTTATATAATAATTATTTCTAGTTATTTCTATTTTGTATCTCGTAATCGATTCGCAATTTTTCGCGTTACCAAATTTTCGTTTATGTAAAGTTATTAATGCAAAATAGTAAAATTTCAAAAGTAAAATCAAATATTAAAACATCACAATATATTTCGTTCTGTTCGTTATCAGGACATAGAAATGTGCCTTCATAGTACTACAGGATTTGTTACTGTCAACATAAATCTAATTATATCGACACAGCCTCGCAGTTCTTCACGTTATGTTGCTTTTGACATCTTCTCTCAAATGATGACATGTCGTTAATTGGAATGAACTGTAAAATAAATCGATTTAATTGCGATCGCGTAAGTAATTAGGGAGGTCCGTTACTTAAAACATAGGTGTTTAATTTAGAAATGTAGTTTATTTGCGCTGAAGCTAAGACATTTTATTATGTTATTTTTCTTCTTTTACTGTTTCTTTTACATTGTGTTAAATTAAGTCTTTGTACTTAGTAGTTCTGTAAATAAATTCAAAAATAAAAATCATTGATAAATTTCCCTGCGCAACTACTTATTTAATTTCAATTATATGGGAAGAATGCAAAGCTGAGCCGGTTTAAAAGAGAAACTGTTACAGAACTACTAGTAATAAAGAGATGTTGTATTTGATTTTGTTACATATAAGGTTTGCACTATTATAGCTAAGCTATGTAACTGTGTGTGCAATTATGAGAATATTAAATTTTATTCCAAAATAGTGTTTTACTTTAAACCCAAAAAGCGTATAAGTGTCTAAGCTTCAAATAAATTGTTCATAAAATTAATAAAAACGGAAATGCACATCAGTTCTTGAATACGTCGGTGCCAAAACTAAGCTGTGACGGCGTCTTCGTTTCAAGCTGCCCGCTTAAGCGAAACAATTTGCCATTCAACAGCGTAGCCGCTTGCATTTTCCGCAGAAACATGTTTTTGCTTGTCGTATTCAGAGTTTTCTCGGTCAATGTCTTATTGGATTCAGAATCCAATGAGTTTATAATTGAATCAGCGTCCGCGTCCAGGTTAATTATGTTCGTCTGCGACTCCTCCCTCCACAGCTTCTGAAGGTTTAACGCCATCAGTTCTAGCTGCACCTGGGACAGTTCCTTGATCACGTCAATTTGCACCGACATCACAGAGTCGCAGTTCTTCAGCAGCGAGTTGAGCGCCTCCAGCACGTCGGCGCGCCTCTTCTGGATGTTGTACTGGTTGTCTATGTTCTTCTCGAAGAACGCCAAGTGCTCGTACAGCTCTGCCAGTTGCAAAGAGCAGGATATATACTGCGCCGCGTGGTGCTCGAAATCGTAGTAATGCTTCGCTCGCATTAGCCACTTGTGAGTGAAGGCGAACAGTCGCCTCGCTGCCTCGATATCGCAGATGATCTCCGACGGAACCCTGCTTTCCAATGCATTCAGATCTAGAGTGGGGAACGTGAAAATTTTTTCCGCGACGCAGTCCCCCTTTCCATTCTTCTCGGCCCCGACGTCCTTGACGTTGTCGTCGTCGTATTTTTCGACGTTCACGACGTTTTCGTCCAGATCGTTCATTGTAACCGTTTTCCACAGATTCGCCTTGGTGGTGGTCGGATTCGAAAAGTAACGGTTCAATACTTTCTTTTTCGAAAGCTTGAACAGAGTTAGACCATACTTGACCCAGTGGTGGCTAAGTTCCAAGAAGTGCATCTCGAAATCGGCTTTCTGCAATACAAATTCCTCCGGCATCAGCTTGCAATTATCATGACACGTGCGTAAGACATGATATGCCGCCGATAGATGATGGCGTGCGTTCCCCAGCTGGTTCAGATAAGTGAAATAATTACCCAGTCTGGCAGTTCTCATGGCCCAGTCTTGAGGAGTGCCTTCTTTCATCTCCAATTGCCGTCTCAATGCTGTATGATTGTAAAGCGTGTACTTTTCGGGCATGTTCAGTTTGTTGTACAAAAATGCCTGCATCTGAACATTGTTCGTAATGACTTTGTCGATCTTTTCGGGGTTCACTCGCTTGATCTTTGAAAGTGGTTCTGTTGTAAACAAATCTTCCGCATCGTAGAAATTATCCGAAGGTGATTTGCTTATTTTTTCATATAAGTCCTCCATGCTTTCGAGTATGTTTTTCGCCATGTTCACTTGATCCAACTGAATAAGATAATAGCATAAAAGATTCTGTATTCTTAGTAGTATGAAAAGACATTCTTCCCGGAGCTCGAACTGTCTTAATTTTTCGAAGGCATCTTGTAAAACATTTCTTTTGTCCGATAACGATATCGGCATAGTTTTTACAGAGAGCAGCGTTATGTAACCTTCCATTGCAAGAGACCTTACATATTGATCATGGTTTTCCTTACCGAAGGTGACCAACTCCGTGTTCAAAATTTGTATGTCCTTTTTAAGGGTCATCAGACGTTCCGAAGAATTTCTATTCTTTATTGTGTTCTTGATATTTTCAAATGTAGTTGAAATGCGGCTTAATACCTCCATATTTCCAGAATACTATAAATTTTCAGACAGGATTGATAGAGATTTTCAGATGTAATATTACAAAAACACTATGAAATTTAATAATGTCAATATTCAAAAAGTTTAATTCGTACTTCGTACTGCCAGATGTTATTTATTCTATAAAATATAATTAAGATAATTTTCTAAGCCGGCCAGTGTTAAAAACTAAAATGGAGGAATGTACTCCCTTCTAGTTGTTTTAGAGTGGTTTTTTATTTTTATCACACCAGATAGAAGTCATAACTTTTCTATTTTTCGACATGGACAGCTGCGAAGGCCATTCAAAAGTCATCATCGTCCGTTATCAAATACCTTTAAACAAGCAATTCTTGTATATATGTATATAATCGGAATCTCGGAAACGACACCAGCGATTTTCATGAAATTTAGTATGTGCATAGATTCGGGAGCGAATAATCGAACTACCTAGGTTTAATTTTTAGAAAATGTCCTTTTATCCCTGTTTTCAGGGAATGAAAAATATCATTCGAATATGACCCCTGTTTTCGTTCTTGGAAATACCAAAGATTTCAAAAGCCCTAAGATCAAGATCTTGTTGTAAAATGCTCTTGTACGCAGTGGCTTAGAGTATAGTAGCGTCATTTGGAATCCACAGTATAATATCTGCATGAAAAGCGTCCAAAAAAGGTTTCTGTGGCACCTGGCATACTTACCTGATCTGCGGAAAACGATTACGTCATACTCCGATAGACTAAAACATTTTGGGATGAGTTCTCTGAGCGATAGAAGGAAAATGCTTGAAATTCTCTTCCTGCATAAGCTTGCCAATAGTATTATTGATGCTCCTAACCAACAGGTTAGTACAACAGTACCTCTTAAACTTTACCATTCCTTCGAAGCTGTCTCGACCCTCTAGATTCAATATCTTCTCGGACTGTTTATGCAACTACAACCTTGGACAGCAAGCGCCTTTAAACAGAACAGAAACAGAAGTATAATAACATCTCGAGAACTTCCAGGACGGATTTTGTTTCAGTTCAGTTGGTGCCCCTAAGCTAAAGAAAGAATCGCCGATACTTTTCCGAAAACACCTATTTACTTTTAAAAACTTGAAATAGTCGTATCCTTTAAACGAGCAATTCTTGCATATATATATAATCGGAATCTCTCTGACATATATATATATAATCTCTATGATATTGATACGTCATATAATTCATTTCGTGCGCTGAGAATGCAAGAAGACTAAATAAATTTTCGCTAAATAATTTTTGGATTGTGATTCTATTTTTATGTTTCAATTTTTTCCAGACTCGTGTACAGCAGAAGAACAGTTGTTGGCTAAAAAATCAAGAGAAGTCCCGTCTCTTAAACTTAGTGATCTGTCAGTGCCTTTATTTGTAATGACACTAACGAATAGTTTATGTATATTTAATTTTTTTAGTCATAAATAGTGTAAATTATGTTGGCGTTCATTAAAGAGTTACCATATGCACACGAGGCATTTTTATGACAACTGACGGTCGTCCTCCAGGTACTTTATATAATACTAGCGGCCCGCCCCGGCTTGGCACGGGTATTTAACAAAAAGCTATCATACACACGCATAAAACCTTACGAATGTTTAGTCTTTGGTGAATAATTTTATGAATTTCTTCATCTTTTAATGAAATACCCTTGAAATTACGCCATGAAGATCGAAAGACCGCTGACCAGATAATGGTTCCGCTTTAATTACGGGACATTCGGGGTTACACGTAAAAGTGACAAATAAGTCTGGTCTCCCATAGCTTCGGACATAAATAATCGCATCTTTGGTTTTTTAATGCAGATAACTCTGAGAACCCGTAAATGAATATGACGTTGCAGATTACGCGTTGACCGAAATTTTATGGGCCAATGTCTTGATTTAAGGTGTCTCTAAGATGAATGTTTCTCCAGCCCTCAGTCTCTGGTGATCACGACATCATAATTATGTAATTCAATCTTTCTGATATCTTTTTGCCATCAAATCGACAATGTATTGAATAAAAACCGGCCAAGTGCGAGTCGGACTCCCACACGAAGGGTTCCGTACCGACCTCATAGAAGACCGGCATAAAATAGAAGTGTTATACTTCTACGTTTCGTCTGGTGAGAGAGGTAACCGGTGCCCACTTCTTTAATGTTGGCAACACAGTTGTTATCCTTTAACATCAGACAATAAAACTTAAAAATAATAATAAATACTAAAAAACAAAAACGTATAAATAAGCGGGGCTCCCATAAAACAGACATGATTTTTTTGTCGTTTTTATAGATAATGTTTACCACTAAGTCAGTCACTAAGCTGTTTGGATAGTTAAAATACAATATACTAACATTTTTAAACTTGTGATATCTTTCGAATGGAATGTCCGAATTTAATAATTCGAAAAGTAATATAAAGCTATTGAAACAGTCTTTAATATGAAGTAATTTATTTTTAATATACCAAGATAAAAATAAATTTTCTTTCCTTTTCTAGCGGCGGCATTTCAATCAAAATTTTAAAATAAAATAACACTTATTGTGGCATAACTATAATAGTTAGACATATGCTCTCGCGACACTTTTTGGAAATAATGATGAGTTCTGCAAATTCATAGTACATTATTTTATTCTATCATCAATAGTTTTCGCAGCGCACGCGATGTAAAGAATATTTTAGGTAAATTTTTGTACACTTTGGGTTAGATTATTGAAATTTTAGTAAGGATCCCTATTTTTTTGAAAATATAATATAGCCTATATCAAGTGGGAATAATGTAGCTTCCCAACAATGAAAGAATTTTTCAAATCGGTTCAGTAGTTTCGGAGCCTATTCAATACAAACAAACAATCAAATCTTTCCTCTTTATTATATAAAAATATACGTTATTCGCATATTTAGTACTAAACTCACAAACATTCGTATATTCTATATCTATTTTGCATAAGTTCGTAGCGCGTATGCGAGTTCATTACATTGGTTCGTATTAAAAAAAATACGTTCAAGAATACCTTTTTTATATGAGAAGGAAGGCAATTGAGCTGGCGATTCAGCTGATGTTAAGATAACCGCCGCTAATGGACGTTTGCAACACCCGTAGGATTGTCGAAGCGTATTAATAAATAAAAGGCAGTTTCTCCAAGGTTAATGATAGAAGCGTTGCTGGAGTTTCGTCCGCCACTTCTCCCAGCGCCAACGCTTTCCGAAATGGTAGTAATGTTAGATCTAGAAATTCCCCCAGTCAGATAATAGCCACCGAACCAGCCGGGGTCCGGCCCTCTCGGACACCTTAGAATCGAAATGCTAAACGCGTATTGAGTGACAGCCCAAGTCGAGGTCCCCTTGAGCCTGGTCACTCCTTGGAGCGTCCGCCCAAGCGCCCTAAGAGCTTGGCTGCCTCCCAAACCGGTGATAACAATAGCGTGACGGCCCGAGCCGAGGCTCCTTCGGGAAGCCTCGAGCTTAGTCACCATAGCGCGTAAGAATAATACGCCGAGGTTCAGGCTTAGCGCCTCGAGCGCCAGGCCACCTCAAGCCCGTCGGATCTGTAAAGGCTCCTAAGGCCAACAGTGGCTCATCAAGCCCAAACAAAATGGTCGTTGTACTTACCCGGACGGACAACCCTATTCGTGCTACAGCGAAAACAGTTGCTTGGAACATGTTCACACATGTTCACCATATACATGGAATATTTTATGCGAAAGGTTCGTCAATAAACATCGATCTCGAATCAATAACAAGAAAAACAAATACAAGGAAAATTCAATAACAAGGAAGTCAAATCATATATTTTTAAATCGTATTTTAACAATAAATTTAATAAGCATTTATTAGCGATGAGAAGCTTTATAGTAATTTAAATCTGATCACAAGTCGAAGGAATAAACAGTGCTGAGAATAAAATTATGCTTTGTGTCTATCTAACTCCAACCCATTTGTATGAGACATTTATATCTTTCAGATAAAGCCTGAACTGGAAATTTACAACTTATAAATGAAATTACTACTACTGCTAATCAGGGGCGAAGCTATCGCGTTATCAGCCTTATTAATGCTACGAGATCCTCCAGGATTCAGAGGCCTCGAACGGATGAAACCAAAAAATCGTTAATAAATTAATTTCCGGAAAAAATATCATAATTTATGCAATAGCATACACGTTATAATAATGTCATATACGAGGTTGCGCAGTAATGGCATGAAGTCAACAATATAATATAATTACTTTCTTGCGAGATGTAGTACGATTAATATTAAATTTAAAATGTCATGTCAATTTTACGTATACTATTTAATTATGGCCTGTGTTTTATACGAACTTCTTTTAAAGCGAAAGGAGAAATTAATTATTTAAGCGCCACGAGTTTGATTAACTAGCGACTCGCCCCGGGTTCGCACGGGTGCAATGTATTATACATATAAACCTTCCTCTTGATTCAATCTATTTAGTAAAAAAAACACAGACAGACAGACAGCGAGACGAGTTTGTTTTATTCTATGCAGTGATGCACAACAAAGAGACGTTTTCATTTCAAGTGACATTTTACCATAGTAACTCACTTGTGTTACCTTCCCGGAACCCCTCCACTAACACTTAAACTTTATGATATGGTATTAAAGTTCAAATTGACTTTTAATTATTTTGTATAATGTATATATGTATATATGATGAAAATTTTGTACCAACTAAATTCATTTCCACAAAATAAGACGAACGTCATGAATGTAGTACATAATTAACGGTACCTGGAGGATCGAGCTTTGCTTGATTTATTTTGGTAAATCGTGTATTTTGGAAATAAAAAATAAAGAAGGCAATGATCTGGTATAGAAAAAAAACTAAAAAAAATAAATGTGTAAATGATCGTGACACGAACCGCACCCTTCTGTTTCGGGGCCGGCCGATTACCGACCGAGCTATTATAATATATATTACCGTCATATTCGAATGATATTTTTCAGTCTCCGAAAAGAGGGATAAAAGGACATTTTCTAAAAATAAAACCTA